TAACCATTATCCAAACGCGACGTAGCTTTGAAACTAATAACAATTTTAAATATACATATATCTATCTCACTTACACAAGTCGGGAAAACAATAGCGTGTCGCGAAAACAATAGCGAAAAGATTAGATAAAGATAGACACACAAACATGCAATGGCGGGTTGGTGTGGCTTACTATATGAAATTTTACCTAAAATACGCAATAAAAATGAGTTTTTTTTAAGCTGCAGTTAATTGTTTTTATATTAAAAAAAGTATATTTTATTTTAAAATCTTTATTGCGTCCCCTTAGAAAAAAAAGTTACAAAGCTCATCAGATGAGTAGAATTAAACATAATGATGAAATAAAACGTATTTTCTTGATATAAAATTTATATGAAATTATAACTAATATAAAATTATTAAAATAAAATAGGTAATAAAAATATATGTAATAGATAATCCATGAATAAACTAAAATAAGAATAATTAATTATTTTGCAATAAAGTTAAAACGTAGTTTTTATTATGATTTGAAAAATATTAAAATTCAGAGGTAACCAATTAACTTACTCCATTAATTATATAGTCTCCCTTTAATGTAGGATAATCACAAATGCGGAAAAGTGGCAACATTGAACCTAAATGGCAATATTCGATAATTTTATTTAATTATTTGAGGTTTTTTACGTTTATATGAAAGCAAGAACTACAAATTATGTGTTGATGTGATTACGCTTGATTTATTACGTTTTTGTGACTTTGAATAGCATTCTTTCACTACGCATTTACCCATTTTTTGTCGCGGCTCAACTCTGTCGGCGTCACATTGAACACTGAACTGACGTTAGCTAGGCATATGGCTGTGGCCATATTGCAGTGGCAACGCTTTGGCGCGGTTATTACTGATCTAGTGTAATATATAAATCAATCAATGAGGGTGACAAACGAGCACACATTCCAACTGATGGTAAGTGGATGCTGTGGCCCATATACATCTGTTTTATCCTCGATTAAGAATCAAAATGCAGATGGTTCTCACCACTCAGTACTAACATAGAACGCCACGTTTCCAGTAAAAGTGTCTCCGGTTCTCTAAACTCACCTTACAAAACACAGCAGCCTTAAGCTGCTATTTTACGCTAGTATTCTGTGAAAGCGTGGTCCTACCCCGGTTGAGTAGATCCATTCGTGCTACAAATAATATAGCTGCACCGGGGCTCTATCACGTTTAATTAGTGTCGGTTACTAATTTCAAAAAAATAAATAATCAGATACTCATTATGCAATTAAGCGTTAAATCAAAATGACATGAAGAGACACGATATCGTAACTTCTGCTGTTGTGCCTATCAATAAGTAGTCTATTACCGAATAATTCCCCCCTTTAGGTTGGCTCATAGGGGCATTTTGGTTTGGTAACTGAACATTTTTTGTTATTTTTTACAATACTCTTTATTGTAAATCAAAGAGAGATCAATACAACAAAAACAAACAAATATTGAGGAAAAAAAACAAAAGATGATGTTATTGTTATATAGCAATCTGTTCCAGACAACCCAGTAAAAGAATTAAATAAAAATATTTTCGGAAAATTATTTATCAAGAACATGCTGCTGCTAGTGTCGTGCTTCAGTCTCCGTCCACTCTTACGACACCCACGAGATGATTTAGCTTCATATGGGACTAGAGATATACGAGACAGGACCGCACCATGTTGCAGTCTATGGGAGAAGCCTGCGTTCAGATAGGCTTATGATGATACTGGGATAATGATTGTCATTATGATAATCTCTAAAAAGCCGTTAAAGGAATATCACAGGGGCACACAACAGCGCGCAGCACTACGCTGCTGTTTCGTTATTTTACGCTGGTATACTGTGAGCCTTCAACATTTTCTTGTAACGTATGTTTCCTCGCCACATTCACTCCAACATCACTTGTGTTAAGAGTGAGGGTAGACTTCTAATAAGCGGTTAAACTCTCCAAAACTTTATTTTAGAATGTATATTGTATTTACTTCTGTGTTCCAAGAATATTTTATAATGTAAAGTCTACTAAGTAATGTTCATTTGTTTAAATAGTTAAAGTTATTATCTAACACTTGGTAACTTACACGTTTTATTAAATAGTTATTTCGCTTCGTATTATACACACATAGTGACACACCTGTCATCCCCGAATAGGTGGTCAGAGTTCAAAGCGCAGCAAGCTGCTCGGACTACGTTTAGCCCAAAATTATTTTATAGAATAGGGATGACAATAGAGCGTGTGCTCGTCTACCTGAAGTGGATGCTGCAGCCGATAGACATCTATCCTCAGTCAGACATTTATCCTCAATAAAGCATCAAAATGCAGATGCATTCTCACCCCTGAGGAATGTCTCGTTTTCAGTAAATAGGGTCAAATCATATAATAGATGAAAAATGCTGCAGCCATTTTAATAGTATACTCGTAGTTGCAACACGAATGGGTCGGCTCGACCGCAGAAGGGCAACGCTCTCACAGAATACAAAATAGCAGCTTAACGCTGCTGTGTTTCGTATGATGATTGTAGAGAATCTGTGACCCTTTTTACTGGAAACGAGGCATTCCATTAAGTCCTCACGCGTGACAACGCATTTGCATTTTGATTCGTATTTGAGGTTACAAGTAGATGTCTATGGGCCACAGCAACCACTTACCATCAGGTGGACTGTGTGCTCGTTTGTCACTCTATCCTATAAAAAAAGTGGTTATCCCATCGCCTAAACAATCGCAAATCCAATTTCCCCTTAATCACCTTTTACTACATGCTAGGAAAGTAACCCAGTTGGCACAATTTTTTTTATAATATTCTATCTAGAAATTTCTTATTCATTTTTTAATAACGAAACAAAATAGCCAGGGGGCTTCGCTTGGATAAGGTCTATTAATGAGGCATTATTTAGATATACGATGATTAAAAACTATTTTTTTAAATGTTCACGGGTAAAAATAATCTAAACCATCCTGGTATTGCTCGCACAGATAGACAGACATACAGATAAAAAAAAATTAAAATGGTTATTCATTACTTATTGACATAGAATAACTAATCTAATGGCTCGGCTCGACCGGGCTAGGACCACGCTCTTACAGAATACCAGCGTAAAATAGCAGGTTGATGCTGCTGAGTTTCGTATGGTGAGTGTAGGGAACCGGAGACACTTTTTGCTGGAAAGGAGGCATTCTATCGTAATCCTCAGGGGTGGCAACGCGTCTATGGGCCTCGGCATCCACTTACTATCAGGTGGAGACTGTGTGCTCTTTTGTCACCCATATTGTATACAAAAAACCTCTCTCAGCTTAATCAATTAAAGGCAGCCATTTCAATATGTAATATTGACTGACACTTCAACTTTATTTATTTGTAAATATATTAGGTATGTATTCTATCTAAATGAACCGTTCATAATTGAATGGCGCAATTAAATAACTGATTATCTTCGTTATGTTTTTATGGTGAATCGTTATTTTGTTAGAAGGGCTGAATATATATCCCCATTTTAATTCAAAATTCAGATGCGATGTCACCCCTAAGGACTAAGATGGAAAATCTCGTTTCTAATAAAAAGGGTTGATGGTTGTCTTTACTAGAAACACAGCAGCATATATGCCTCCTTGGCGGATCATCGTAAAACCGCGCTTTTGTAAGCCTACTCGCGGCTCACTATCTTTCTATAAAATTTGCCACGTTGCTTCAACAAAGTAAATTATAACTGTTTGCCTTATCAGTGTATCAGGAAATCACCAATGACGAGCAGCAAGTAATACCGCCGTAATTTTTTACAGGAAGCTTATATTGAATACCAGTGTAAATGCTACTGTGTTTCGTATAGTATGGTAAGTGTAGAGAGCCGAATGCCCTTTTTACTGGAAACGAGGCATTCCATCTTAGTCCTCAGGGGTGACAACGCATCTGCATTTTGATCCTTAATGTATTTTGTATTGTATGAGGCTATGTGATGAGCCCGCATTTAACGAATTCGGAGGAGAATAGATTAATTTTTATTTAAATATAGATTATAAATAGTTCTCATTGAAAGTAATGTTTTATTTTTACCACTGGTACAGAGATTTTTGAACAGAAGATATTTCACAACTAACTTTGGATGTAAGTGGTTCAGGACTCAAAATGAACTTGTAGTCTGTCCTCAACAATGGTAACGGGACCGAATGCTTTTGTTAACTTTAGTATGAGGCCAAAAGAAGCACCAAAACTCTTGCTACGTATGTTCAAAGTCGTCACTAAGAACTTAGTAAGAATAGCATATGGTAAGAATAAATTATTAGACTTAATAAATATAGGTTTTTCTAAGAATTGATAAAAACTTCGATGCTTTCCGTTACACGTTAACGATTTATAAGCAAACAGTAGACGGAACGAAGACCACACAAAACATGTGATAAGTCGGACGGTAGTTATGTACCTAATTAAAACTTATGAAAATTAAAATGCGAACATACACATACACAGTTTGAATTTCGAATACAAATATATACTTTTTCAAAATAATCTGTTTTAGGTAGGAATGTGGCGCCCTCATCACAGTTTTGCAAAATGGACCTTTGACATTTAAAGGTTGAAAATTTCACGTTTGTTTTGTAAAAGAAAATCGTTGAAGCCACATAACTTGAACAAACGAATTGTTTACTTTAGCTCAACAATTCATTGTATCTACATAAAGCGTAATATTATTTCACGCTCGTGGAAAAAGTAACGCGGTCGTTCCGATACAATTCGCAAACTTTGCTTTAATAGCATAAGCTATGGAAAATATTAAACCTGCGTACTGATTTAAATGTTAAAACATTTAACTTTTAATACATAACAATTAACAATAAAATATATATGAAAGTATATATGCTATAATTGAGAATGTACATAAATAATGAAAGCATAACAAAAAATACGACTTGCAGCACACGTAAGATAACTTAAGTGACACATGTAAGATTGGAAAGCGTTGATATAGTGGAATTGGGTCATCGAACATCTCTCACCTCTAACGTTTCCGTCCGCGTCGGTGCTTGGGCCCGAAAATTTGAGACCTCTAGTCGTCTCATTCATATGTACGACGTCTGCCGCCGTCACAACCTTGAATCCAAGCCCGTGACTCGACACGGTAGTGTTCCACTGCCACTTACACATATCTACTTGAGAGTTATTGTTAATTTCAAAGTTACAAAACACACCAGTCACTTGGGGCACATAGTTGTACTTGCTCACAGCCTCGTAAGTTGGCCCTTCGCGGCGCAGGACTTTCATCTTGTCTGATAGTGAATCCGTATCGTTATCAGATACAGTTTTCTGGTTAATGGCGATCGCACCCTCATTGTCGTTTAGCATGTCATCATTTTGGGCTTTGTGCTTGCGATTAAGCTGCAATATTTTGTTGAAGTTGTTCTTTCCTCTGCGTCTACCCTCACGTCGGTCTTCCGTTCGGTTCATAAGGTTCGACAGCTTTTGAAAGGAGCCTCGTTCCCGCCCGGGGCTTGCAGACCGCGCTCGTTCTTTTTCCGCCGCCGCGGTTTTCTTCTCCTTACTGTTTCCCATCGCATTTTGATACTCGCAGCTGATGATCACAATGAGGGTAAGTACGACGATAATCGACCCACGCGCCATTAGTTACTAATGGTGGATTCAGTGATTTAAGTTTCCGTATATAGCGGTTTGTTGTCGACTTTTATTGTTTTCGGCACAACCATTTTGCGAGTCGATAGGGAGTTATTGAAGTTGTGTGTTTGATTCATAACAAAAGGCGTATGTTGGTCGCGAGATCCGCACGCGGATAACTTTGCTTTATTGTGATATCAAATGGGAGTGCCGCGACCTCGCACGATGCGCTGACACTCTTCTTTGGATATCCGCCAGTCCTGGAGATACGGCATGGGTCGATAAACTTTGTATGGAATGACATACGTACATTTTAACACCAATTGACACTTTTTAACTTCACATAATTACGTCTTGACCTACACTTTTTATTGATATACTTATGTATCCACAGGTCGATTGTAGCTCGATTGCTACATACCCGAAAACTACGGTCGTTAATGGACGATCTACGTTGCAACAGCGCACATGATCATTTCACCGAATGGAGCACACTCGTATCTCGAGCAAATATCTCCGGAGAACAAACACGATTCATTGAAGACACTTGGAGCTATACATCCGCAATTTTTCAATTTCCAGCACTAAAATTACGTTTTAGCTAGCCTCTATACCGAGGTACATACATCAAAGTCCCACTCCCGTGCACCTTGCAGCGCCGCGGCGGGAATATGCGAAACTAGACGCCCGTGGACAGAAATAATCATTACTTTTCGCGAGATGTGATCTTGGATCGGCGTCCAAGGGATGCTGCGCAGGTGTTAGTCTGTCTTTAGCTCATTCCCGGGCTTTTCGCGCAGGATGTAGTTGCGTCAAACACCGGATACAGCATTGGTCCAATTAAGACTATGGTTCACGTAATGTGTAACTGATTGGCGCATTTTGCTACACCGTTGATGCAATTGGTTTCAAATCGCATTGGCGTGAAAGCGCTCCAATAGTAATGCGCACCGGATATTATATCGAGAAAATTTCCTCAGAAATTTGTTTACGCGAGCATCGGGCGGTCGCGGGGTTTTTCGCCGACGATCTGCGGAAATCAAATTGAACATTGATCAGATCCTGTTTCTTGTACTTCGCGTAAGCAATCTAACGAGATATTTGTGGATTAAAAAATCGTTATAATACGACATTCATATAACATATATTAAAGCTTGGTGTACGATCGATTTTAATAAAGCCACCTAAATTAACCAAAACAAAACAGTGAGTGTAATTTAAAATTTTAAGAAAATCTACGTAACCCCGCAATGTTACGTTGTACATGAAGATTTACTGAATCAGCTGCTTTTTAAATGAAGATCACTAATTATTATTTCTAGACCAGAATTTATAATATTTACCAACTGACTTGCCACAGACATCATAATGTTTATAATATATAAGATGTATATGTATATATAGATATATCTGTGTATGATGAAAAAAAAATACTTTTAACATTTAAAGCAAAATTTACAATAATAACTCTTTCTCTTACTATTAAACAGCTAAATAAAATATTTTACTAAATTATAATTTCTTTGATGTAGAATGAATCATTCTTTTATCTAATTTGACAGTTCTATAAATTGTGAAGTTTCAAAACGCACGTTACCACTACTTGACTTTTGCTAGTGTGTATTTCATAGATTACTGCCTATATACTAGAGATAGATGAGCAACTCAAGTTTTATTTACGTTAAGTTCCGTGCCCAACCGTCAGGTGGCGTAAAATTAAGAGTGCTTTGGGCCCGCCCTTTATTTGCACTTTACAATTTTATATGTTCAGAACCATTAATTACATTGCACAAGTGCTGCAATGTAATTAATGGTTCTTTATATTTCTTGTGCTAATTGCTAGTTCCTATTAATAAAATAAAAACCGGATATATTTAAAATGTTTATTGTTTAAAAATTTCTTGCCTAAATTAATAACATTAGATGTGTTAAATTTAACAATATTTGCACAATATCAATTGATTTCTTTAAACACATTCTTTTTAACTGGTTAGTTAAGTTAGGAAATATATTATGTTACAGAGAATACAATACAATAGAATTATTATTATTAAATATAGATTATTACACAATACTTATTGAAAGTCATGTTTTATTTACTACATATACCTCTGTCCTGGGAAGAACCAACAAGAAACCCAGCGGGACGTTTTTTTTAAAACATATTTCACTTTACAATCATTTTGTTTATACATTTTATAAATAAATTTAAATAGTACAGGCATGGTGGCGATCACCTCAATCACAGGGGTTATTATTGATGTATTTTTTGATATTATAATAACACTTTTTGTACATTTTTCCTTAAATAAAACATTTCAACTTATTTATTGACAAATTTTGTACATTTTCTGAAATTTTGATTTAAAAGCGTATATGTTGCCCCATAAAAGCACTACTGACTCAGTGGAGTCTAGTAACTGGTGTTACAAGCTTATGTTTGTTCTTAGATTTTAAAGTATAAACATCTTTATTCTTATGAAAGCTTTTTATGTTTTTATGTACATACATTAGTATATATATATATATATATATATATATATATATATATATATATATATATATATGTACAACAATACATACATTATTGTACATACATTATTGCTATGCCAAAGTTAATATATTTATTTCTTTAAATTTTTCTTTACGCGACTTTTACAATTTAAGATATAAATTGAACGTACGGCTCTCTTTTATAAAACAAATATGGCTACAATGTCTAATACTAAGAAAAACTGTGGTATCCACAAGACTCAACTACATCCCATTTAAGAGCACATTGATAATTGAATCCTCTCCAAAGGTTTGCTTCTTTTCCATAATTTCAAGAATTAGTATCAATTAATTGTTAATAGTGGTACATCTCTAACTTAATATAAAAAAGATACATTTTGTAGCAGCATTATTAATCTTTAAAATATGTACTTGATAACGTTATCATATTTTGGTAACAAAACTTTTTTTTTAAATGTGTGTAATAACTATACTTTTAAAAATACAAACAATTTACAAAAGTGACTTTCTTATGCCCACTATACCATTGTAAATGTGTAAATCAATATATTTTTTTTACAAAATCAGCATTTTATATATGTATTATAACATACTCATACATAATACAACCTCACAAACCATTTGCGAAACTATAATCAATCTAATAAATTGTGGAAGGTACCATATAATCACATAGAGCAACAAAAATAATACTAAGAAATAATATTTCAATAAAACTGATATCATTGACTATGCACACCCACATATTCCTGAATGTGCAGTTAGTACAGTATATTATGAATATCGTGGAAGATGGTACAATTTCGAAGACAAATTGTTTGGCCACGTCGATAAAAACAAAAAAAGCCTTAAAAGATATATATTCTTAGGTAAATTGTTCACTTTACTCAAGACGGACATTAAAAATGTCCTTAAATAAATACTAATTAAGCCAGGCATAAACTTATTTATATTTAAGCAAATGAAAGACTTGAGCATGACAGAGTGCTTGTGTTTCTTAATGCTTGATGAGATGCTAGTGTTCTCCTCACATTACAATGCAAATGTCATAGGTTTTGAAGACTGAGGATGTTAAGAGTGAAAATATGATGAACATGTTTTGGTTTGATGATAAAGGAGATAAAGTTCATACTAAGCTTTCAACTAGTTATGGATTTTGCAAAAAATGCTACGATGGCAGTAATTAAAAAATATATATAATAAAAGATTTATAACAAACATGATTAAATGGTGTCTATGATCAATTTACAATTAACACCAAAGTAAGCAATAATTAAGTTAATAGGACAAAGACAACAAGAATGCTTTTGAAATTTAAAATAAAAAATAATTCTCTTTATTTGATACTTACACTTATCGAAAGGGGAAATTTTATTTCAAAAGAATTAAGATTTATACGCATGACGTAGTAAACTGCTAAATGGGAGCATTTATAATTGCTCTTAGATAGTGATGTGGGAGAAAATGAACTACTGGATGATGCATAAGTAAGCTGACATATACCTAAGTGTAACCTGATAAAATACCTAAAATTAGGAGTAAAGCACGAATTTTAACCAACGTGTATTAGGTTGTCTTTGACTTTGTGCAAATAAGTCTTTACATATTAATAATTAATGTTCAATAAATATTTGTCTTTAACAACTTTGTTTTGATTTTATTTTCAAAACATTTTTAATTACCCCAAGAGAGCAAAGATACTTCATAGCAAGTATATTGTCCAAAGTCCGCCACGTGCCACGTCCGCCATTTTGTTTTGGTTTCTTTCGAACCACACTAATACTGTCTACTTCATCGTTCGACCCGCCATGCCTTTAGTCGTCACTTTTCGCGCACTCAGTATTCAAATAACCCCCCTGAGTTTAACAGAAGTCCGTTATTTCAATTTTACGTACAAACACTTCAATTACACGAGTATGAATAAATTTAAAATGGTCTACTTAGAATAATAACTGTTACAACTTAACAAGCGTGGCAACATGGCAAAATCCCCCCCCCCCTATGAGGCTATTGGGGAGGCCTATGTTCAGCAATGGACTTTTATAAGCAGCAATGGAAAAACCTGTATTAGATCTATCGCCGTGCAAGGTGTTATGCTCGGGGAGCGGCCAATGCTACGTGTGCTAATTCGGGGCTGTTATAATAACTTCTGTTAGTCAGTTTTGTTTGATTTTGTTTAATTCCTTTAATCAAAGATTTTATAAAAAGTGTCTAAAACATAACTCGGAACGTATATGCTGTGAAACAAAGTTTTACCTATTACAATGAGATTTCAGGAAGTTAAAAAAGAGATGGAAGTTGAATGAAGAAATTGTTAGCAAGATGCTAATAATATATTATAAAATCTGGATTATTTACTGGTAAAAATGACCTCCACTCCAAACGAAGAGGTAGTAAATAGAAGGTATTTTACCGCTCACATTTTGGCAGTTAGCAAATTTTCAGAGATTGAAAACTAAAATATTTTTATTTAACGAGTTATAAAAAGATGAAAA